ATGAAATGCACATCCAAAGTGTGAATAGTGTAGTATTCAGAACATTGGCTTAGTGGATTTCCAATTAAAGCGGTATTAAACCCAAAACAAATCATTTAATATGTTGCAGCTTTCCAATTATTAGATGTCGTGGATCAATTTTCTTTTTATTTGGCTTTTTGCCTCTGTTTTCACCAGGTGATCTGGACAGTCCCTGTAATCTGATGCATTCTGCTGGAGAATTTGTGCTGCGAAAAACAAAAGACTTACTGGCTGGATTACCAGATGAAAATGTATGAAAGAAAGTCTAAAAAAGGAAACTAATGCAGCCATGACATCTAAGAATTGGTAAGTTTGCTTTTGGGTTTAATATTGCTTTAAAGTGTATCTACAGCTTTTTTTTTCAATTTAGAGTAGGGAATGGTTAAAACTCCATGACCATTTTTTGTGGGGTATGCAAAGAAATAAAAACACCACACCAGTACTTGCACAGTCTATACATGGAGCTGCTCATCTGGAGAGAAAAGTAGATTAAGTTATTGTCATTTGAAGAGAGGTAATAAATACCAGGAAGTGTTACACTTACTCATTTCTTGGCCATACTTCTCCTTTGGGTCACAGGAGTATACTTACTTGTGCTTTCTTGTGACCTAGAATCAGCTGACAGGAGGCTAAAGCCTGCTGTTGGCTGGCGTCACAGAGATGCTACAGGCTCTGGAAGGATCCCATGCATATTGTCGGGATCCACCCAGATGCCTCATGGGCAGCTGAGTTAGCCTCTCAGATAATGGCTGAGAGCTGGAGCCAGCCACTTCCACTCCCTCCCAAGCCCACTGCTGCAGTGAGCAGAGCCCCTCTCTGCTCAGAGCTGACCAAGAACTGAGTGATCAGTGGTCATGTGATCACTCAGTTCTCTGGCTTAGAGACATTGGAGGACAACTGCAGCATCACACTGATGGAGGTGAGTATGTATATTTGTTTTTTTACAACTCCAATCTTCTCCTTTAACATGAAAAATATATTTAATAGTAGGCCCATTTTAAGCTGACCACATGTGTCAGTTTTCCTTTATAATCCAAGGGTTAATTCACTCCAGCTCTTTGCAGTCCAGTGAAAGGCCACATTAATCCAAGGTGTGGTAACACATCAAGCACACATTGGCACTCCAAATAATTAAAAGAATGCACCTGCGTTAAAATCACCACAATGCATAATATGAGATGTGGTGTGCTGCAAACAAATTCAGCACAACTTAGTGTTACTAAACTCACAACAGTAACATCACTCTGTATATGCAGTAAAGCATGCTTGCTATACTCACTGTGGAACCTAAGGAGTTATTTCTCTCCATTGTGTAAAAAGGCTGTTTGATCCTGTCTTCTCTAATCCTCCCCTTCTTTTCTGCTTCCAATCCATCTGCCATAGTACAGAGCAGCAGTGGCAAGTCTGCACATGCTATGTTTGATGTGTATTGCTAGAGAGGTATTTTTTTTTTTCGGGGGGGGGGTGCATGTGATTGGCACAGGGCCAATCAGCACTGTCCAGACAGAGGGTCAGGGGTCATGCAGCCTCATAGGACAGTCAGAGGAGAATGAAAAAATATCCTTAAAAGCTTTAACCAGTGCTCGGTCAGACACTGATAGAAGTCACAAGACTGCTCTAACTGCTGATGAGAAAAGGTATTTAGCAGTTTATATTTACTAAAATAATTGCACTTCCATGTTCTGTGTACTGTGAGAGACCAGATATAGTGAATGCAGGGGCCGGGGTTTAGTAACACTTTAAAAGCTTCCCCGCCCCCCTATAGTAGAACTACTGCTACAGGGTGGCAGGGCTGCACAAAATCACGTGTATTTGATTTGCATTTCCAGTTAAGGGGGCGTGTGTGTCAATCACCGAGTCCTGGTCAGAGATTCCTGCCGGCACCCGGCGATCGCCGAGTAACACTGATAGGGGAGAGACCTGTTTGTAAACAACACAGGTCTCTCTCCTGCGAGCAATAGCAATTTCTCTGCGCAGCAGAGAAATTCACAGCTGCATGTTTCCCAAGTAAAACACACACAGCACATGTTGTAAAACACAGCACACATTTAACCATTTGATTGCCTCAGATGTTAACCCCTTCCTGCCCAGTGTTATTAGTATAGTGTCAGTGCTTTTTATTAGCACTGTTCACGTATTAGTGTCATTGCGATGTCAGTAGCAGTCAGTTCCCACCCAGTGTCAGAATGCCTGCCGCAGTCCTGCTATAAGTCGCGGATCGCCGCCATTACTAGTATAAAAAAATAAAAATTCTAGTATATATAACACCATTTCTAGACGCTATAACTTTCACGTAAACCAAATAATTTACATGTATTGGGACTTTTTTTCAGTAAAGACATGTAGCAGAATTACATTTGGCCTAAATTTATGGGGAATGTTTTTTTTGTTTTTTTCTTTATTGGATGTGTTTTACAGCAAAAAGTCAAAAATGTTGTTTTTTTTTCAAAATTGTCTGTCTTTTTTTGTTTATAGCGCAAAAAATAAAAAACACATAGGTGATCAAATACCACCAAAAGAACACTTTATTTGTGGGAAAAAAGGACATAAATTCCATTTATGTACAGCATTGCATGACCACGCAATTGTCAGTTAAAGTAACGCAGCGCCATATTGCAAAAAATGTCCTGGTCAGGAAGGGGGGTAAATCCTCTGGAGGGCAAGTGGTTAAGTTTTTGTGCGTTGAGGTGAAATAAAGCCCATTTGGTTTCAAGGCCTGGCTGCCAGAACATACTTCAGTTTATACAAATGCATGCATAGTCTGCCCTAGTGTGAATGAACCCTTACAGCATTTCATTTTTTTTGTAAGGTATTTTAAATCAACAGCATTGAATACAACTTCAAAGTATTTGTAAATCTAGTGCAGCTTAAAAAGAAAATACTCTATTCGATCAGCACGTGAATCTGATAGTACAATCTCGTTGTTACAATGAACAGTACAGATCAACTTAAATTTAGTAAACAGTCCAAGCTGATTTTTTTAAGCTGGCCATACAGAGAAATGTGACTGGTTTCTGATGAACCAGACATCATTTGTTTCACAGGTGGCCTTGCTAGCCCCTTTCCTGCCAATATTTCTGAATAAACCAGTTGTTGTAAAATTGTTGTCTGAACAGTGACTGCATCCAATCAGATGCAGCAGCTGTTTGGGTATTCTGACACCCACCAGCACCAGCTGCCAGCACCTACTGGCGCTGGCTGTTGTTTCTTGTTCTGCTATCACGTAAGATACTATGACCACTCTTTACGTAAGCTTCTGAATAGCAAGCAGCAAGTCACAGAGGACCTGTACTTAAAGGAGTTACACTTTAAACAGTAAAACTATGAAAGAGTCAAATCATTAAGAGATCTTTTAAACCCACACCAGTCCTTGGAAATTAGGAACATAAGGCAAGTGCTCAATGACATATGTAAAGCCTCCGTTATGACAAGTTGTTAGCAAGGTTGTCATCAAACTCACAGAAAATCAATGGAAAGTGATTTGTCACTAGTTTCATGCCTCTGCAATATTAGGCATAGAATGGTGTTATGGTGATCTGGCCTTTATAATAAAAGAAGGTTTAGCACCATCATGTCAGATGCCTAAAAAGAAACCCTGTCACCATTCCATTAATATCACAACAACAATCTTCCCATAAGATTAGATGTGTATGTCATTCATTTTAAGCATGTTATTTACCTGTAAATGCCTCCCTTGTGTGGTCATCCAAAAGCCCTGAGAATGCTGCTGGGTTCTGCTATTTTGGATATGATGTCAGCAGCCCCAGCAGACTCAGGGCTGTATCTCAAATGACACCATAAAATACCCCCCTTCACTCAACCCCCAGCAGCAGCTACATGAATGTTTATGTAGGAAGGTGAGGGAAGGGCAGAGGAGCTGGGCCAGCTCACACAGTAATTAGAGGGATATGACATGCCAGGAAGGAGGAGGCTGTGCTAGGGAACTGACTCTTCCTGAAGCAGTTAAATCTTTTAATAGGTTCAAATGCACATTGCAGGTGAATAAAAAATATTTTATGTAAAGGAATCACTGAAAGTAAGAATTTAGAATACTTGATTTCTCTGTGCTTTTGCCTGCAGTTTTGTGAGTTGGTTGCTCTTTAAACGGTTTGTTTTTTTTCAATATACACTGAATAAGGATGAGCGATACAATGATTATCTGTATATGATGTTCAGATAGAGAACATTTTCACTGTCTTGATTTCTTTTCTGGTCAGTATCTGTTTACTTGATTATTACCAAAAACAATTTTGACATATAAAGTTAGGATGTGTTTTAACTGCTTCCCGCCTGGCCTATATTAGAATTACAGTCGAGTGGGAGCACTTCCTTCCTGGGTGGATGTCATATGACATCCACTCTTCATGCACGCCCCACAGGCTGCACTGCAATGGCCGGACAGTTCACCGGACACAACAGATGACAAATCAGTGTACTGGGCCGCTGCCAGTACCATGTGATCGCTGTGACCAATCAAAGCAGATCACATGGCAATTGTACCCAATGAATAGCTTCCATTCATAGTGGCTTAATGGCTAGCACTTCTGCCTGGCAGTACTAGGGTCGTTGGTTCAAATCCCAACCACGTCACCACCTGCCTGGAGTTTGCATGTTCTCCCTGTGCCTGCGTGGATTTCCTCTGGGTACTTCAGTTTCATCCCACTCCAAAGACATGCTGGTAGGTTAATTAGATCCTGTCTAAATTGGCCCCAGTATGTGTATGTATGAATGTAAGTTAGGGACCTTAGATTGTGCACCCCTTGAGGGTTAGGGACTGATATGAATGTACAATATATATGTAGAGCGCTGCGTAAATTGATGGTGCTATATAAGTACCTGAAATAAATAAATTCATTGTGTACTATTGTGTTGCTCTCTGTGATTGGTCACAATGATCACATGGTACAGACAGGACCAATCACAGTGCATCTGTACCATGTGATAGCTGTGGACAATCACAGCTTCACAACAGTATACACTGGATGAATGGATGCCATTCATAAACATGGTTGATTATCACTGTTATAAGCAATCATAGTGTATGAAAAAAAAAATCTTGATTACCTCCCAAGAGTAATACAGTGTCATTATGGTAACACTGAACTGCGCTGGTTACAGTATGTAAAAAAAGTTGTTAAAAAGTAAAAATGTTTCAAAAATTAAAATAAAAATATTAATTTTATTTTTACATACTGTCACCATCCAGTGTCCTTGATCACCACCTCACCAGTTATACCATGACGCTGCACTGCACTAGTGACAGTATGTAAACACATTTTTAAATTTCCTCATTTTCCAAAAACGTTTGACAAAAAATTACAACTTCAAAAAACTCACCATGCCTACACATTGATTTGGGTTATTTTCATTAAGCAAATTTAGAAGAATACATTTTGGCCTAAATTTATGAAGAAAGATTATTTATTTGTAAAATTTTATAACATGCATTTTATCCCAAAATATTTAGTCTTTTTTCATTTATTTAGCAAAAAAATATAAAACCCAGTGGTGATTAAATACCACCAAAAGAAAACTCTATTTGTGTGAAAAAAAGATGATAAACATTTCGGTACAGTGTTGCATGACTGAATAATTGTCTTTCAAAATGTGACAGCGCTGAAAGCTAAAAATTGGCCTGGGCAGGAAGGGGGTAAAAGTGTCCGGTATTGAGGTGGTTAAAAAAAATATGCCTGGGTGCCACATCAAGGTGTGAAAGTTTTTGGCACACTTTTATTTTTTTCTGAAAAGAAACAATCAAGTTGACTGGAAAATGTTATAGCATTTTTTATGTGTATCTAACATTTGATTTAGTATTTTTTATGTCCTTCCTACTCAAATCAAATATTTTCTTTCTACTTTCTGTTTTCCTTACAGTGTTACTAAACCCACAATAGTAAAATCAGTCTGTATATGCAGTAAAGCATGCTTGATATACTCACTGTGGAACCTAAGGGGTTAATCCTCTGCGTTGTGTAAAACTGCTGTTTGATCCTGACTTCTCTAATCCTCCCCTTATTCCGGTGCCCCTTTTATCACCTGAAAAGACATATTGTATGGAGACACTCTGCACACGGTCAGTTTGGTGTGTATTGCTAGAGAGGTTTTTTTTTTTCTCTTGGGAGAGTGCATGTGATCAGCACAGAGCCAATCAGCATTGTCCAGACAGAGTTCAGGGGTCCTGCATCCTCCTAGAGCAAAAAGAAAACTCCTCCTACAAGCTTTAAACAGTGCTCTGCTGGACACTGTTAGAAGTCACAAGACTGCTCTAACTGCTGATGAGAAAAGGTATTTCGCAGCTTATATTTACTAAAATAATTGCATTTCCATGTTGTGTGTACTGTGGGAGACCAGATATAATGAATGCAGGGTCCTGGGTTTAGTAATACTTTAAGCAACATCTGTGTGAAAATAGTTATATTGTAATTACCAGCTCCTGAGGACCTTGGATAATACAATTTATCAATGTTTGTTTACATGTTGACAAGCAATGACAGGAACACCTGTTTCTACCCATCAGTACTGAAATCACCGCTATTAGCAGCTCTGCTACAGAGATCTGAACCTCAACCGACAAACTGAAAACAGGTCCCCGCAGCTACATATGTGGGAGTGTGCCCAGAGAGGGATTCTAGGATGCACAAGGCATGCCCCAGGTTCTTGAGTGGGTAACATGGTACAGCAGTGAAGGAAACAAGATTCTAAGTTTATATCAAAACTCCTGACAGATATAAAACTAAACACCAATTAATGCATTATGTATTTATTAAGTGCAGTTAGAGTAAATTATTATTAATATTATTATACAGGATTTATATAGCGCCAATAGTTTGCTCAGCGCTTTACAATATAAAGAGAGACAATACAGGAACAATACAGTTCAATACAAGAGGGATAGGAGGGCCCTGCTCCTTGGAGCTTACAATCTAGGAGAAAATGCATGGATCTGTGACCATCTTTATATTGACTCCCCGTAATCACAGCAGTGTTCATATTGAGACATAACAGGAAATCAGAGGAAATCTCCCAAAAGTGAGAGGAATTGTCACCAGAATAGGTATCCCATTGGAAGATGTGCCCTCACCTCTTGTTCCACTGATTACTAAAACATTTTGGATTTCCCTGTAAGAATGCAAGGGAGAATGTCACCAGCACACAGAGGATCACCAATGTGGCTCCAAACGTTTTAGTGAACGATCACATAGTTACAGCAAGCAGGGGCGGACTGACAACTCATGGGGCCCCCAGGCAATAGGGGATCACGGGGCCCCTGTGTCTTTGCCCAAACTCAAAAAAGCCTATGAAAAAGGTACCAGGGGCATCTCATGGGGCCCCCTACTGACCCCGGGCCCTCGGGCAGTGCCAGAGTTTCCAAATGGTCAGTCCACCCCTGACAGCAAGGCAATGTTTTGGAGTCTTGCAGGACTCCTTCATCAGGAATGCGACTGTCATATGCATGATGAAGGGGTCCTGCGAGACTCTGAAATGTTGCCTTGCTGTAACTATCTGATCATTCATGAAAGCTTTTGGACCCATATTGGTGATCCTCGGTGTGCTGGTGACATTCTCCCCATCTGATTCCTGTTGGTTTCAGCCCACGGTCGCTGCAGCACCCACTTATACACACAGCCATTTTTAACGCAGGAACGTGTGCATTTGGATTGTACACTTGCTCCCTGTAAGAATGGTCACCAGACCAAATACAGAAATAAAAATATGAAAGGAGCGCAAACTCTTCCCTACTCTATCCAAACAATAAAAACATACTTTTTCATGTTACATAAATGTTATCTTACTGTGTCTAATAGTGAAAAATAAATGCTCCATGTAGGCCTCCTGTACATATGAACTGTCTAGCTTGTCCAGAAGAATTCAAAGATAGGATGTCAGCTGGGTGTAGGAAAATATATTTCATTTAAAAAATAACTTAAAGTGGTTGTAAAGGCTCAAGGTATTTTACGTTCATGCATTCTATGCCCCCCCCCAATACCTACCCGAGCCCCCTCTCAATCCAGTGCTGTGCACAGTTTCAGCTCTCTCATGGCTCTCCCTCTTCATTGGCTGCCGCTACTGTAAATCACAGTCAGTGAGCCAATGAGGAGAGAGTGGGGGGCCAGACCGCATCTGTGTGTGAATGGACACACAGACCAGTGGCTCGAGAGCGAGCTTGCTTGGGTACCCCCATAGCAAGCTGCTTGCTGTGGGGCACTTGGCAAGAGGGAGGAGCCAGTAGAGCCGATGGGGGACCCGAGAAAAGGAAGATCAGGGCTGCTCTGTGCAGATAAGTATGACATGTTTGTTTTTTTTAAGAAAAAACATTTTCCGTTACAATCACTTTAATGTCCAAATGATGCATTCTTATAACTTGCTAGATATACAGTATATATCTTTGGAATTTTTTTACACAAACCAACTTGTCTTTTTCAGATCTCCTGGCCCTTTAATTATCTGGCAACACACTCTAAATCTGTAAATAACTGCACCATTCAAAGATTTTGCTGTGCAGAACAGGTTTTCTTTTGTGTCTAATTATGTGACTTCTGCTTCAAAGTGTTTATTCTGTGCATACAAATTGGTGTTTGGAAGAGTGTCCTCTGGCTTCTGTATGTTGGCAAGCCTCACTGGGTCCGAGTCACCCAGCCAGGAAAGATTTCCTCCGCTCATGCAAAATACCTTGTTGACAGCTGTATTGCGATCAGTGGACTTTGGAGAACAGACGTGTGCAATTTACAAATCGCTTACATTCTTCAAGACCAACAAGTTTCTTTATGAAGTGAAATGTATGTAGACAACTTCAGATTGTGGAACTTAAAATTATCAGACATAAAAGTCACAAATTAGGACAAATTGAGACAACTTAGTATGTAATAATACATCATTCATTTATTTTTTAAATGCAAGCAGAGTAAGTACCTGAGATTGATATGGTATCAGCCTCTTGCAATCCCTTGTACAGTAGAACTCAGGTGGGAGAGGGTGAAGCTGAATAAGGAGCCAATCATTTGTTCTGTAATGCTCATGTGCTAACAAGATACATGCTGATAGGAGGAGAGAGTAGAGTTGAGATGAGCTCATCAATTTGCTGTCCTTCCTTATTTCTGATCAATCATAGGCTGGGGTGAGGGACAAGAGCTGTAATTGCTATTTACTTCTGCTCTAAAGCTGAACATGAAGAGGAACTTCATCTTTCAGTATGACAACGACCCAAAGCATACATCCAAATCAACAAAGGAATGGTTTCACCAGCAGAAGATTAAAATTTTGGAATGGGCAAGCCAGAGCCCAGACCTGAATCTGTTCAAAAATCTGTGGGGTGATCTGAAGAGGAGATGCCCTCACAATCTGACAGATTTGGAGTGTTTTTGCAAGGAAGAGTGGGCAAATATTGCCAAGTCAAGATGTGCCGTGCTGATAGACTCATACCCAAAAAGACTGAGTGCTGGAATAAAATCAAAAGGTGCTTCAACAAAGTATTAGTTTAAGGGTGTGTACATTTATGCAACCACATTATTTTAGTTTTTTTTTTTTGTTTACTTCCCCCTCTAAAAGATTTCAGTTTGTTTTTCAATTGAGTTGTACAGTTTGCAGTTCACATTAAAGGTGGAAAAAGTTCTGAAATTATTTATCTTTGTCTTATTTTTTTACATTACAGAAACCTGACATTTTAACACGGGTGTGTAGACTTTTTATATCCACTGTATGTTACCACCACTTTTACTGTTATGTAAGGTATGTTTTGCCATCTTTGTTTATCTGCAGAAATTAAGAAACTGTGTATAAACTGGGAAGGGGGCACACAATATTTATAACCAAATTAATACATAGAGTTCCTCTTTAAAAGAAAGGTTTGGGGTTCCATTAACCTCCCTGGCGGTATGATTATTTCAGATTTTTGGTGCTGAAAGCGGTAGGGTACCATTATTTTGCATGGAAATATGTTGTTTTTTTATTGTAGGCTGTAATATTTAGGAATAACTCACTGAAATCTGTCCGAACAAGAGTCTATTAAACATCCCGGGTATGATAAAATTTGAAACACAAAATCATAAATTA